TTTGGGCATGTGGCCAGAAGGGGTCAGTCCTTGGAGAAAGACATCATGCTTGAAAGGGTGGAGGGACAGCACAGGAGAGGAAGACCCTGGATAAGATGGATTGACACAGTATGGGGTAGCTGTGTCAGAGACAGTGAGATTGGTTCAGGACAGGGCAGAGTTCAGAGCTGTTTGTCATAGGGTAGCTATTAGTTGCAGGTGACACGATGGCACATTATAACAATAACAGCAATATGCCAAAGTTTATGAGACAAAGTTTTGTTATCTTTACCTCCGAGAAGCACTCTAGCTGCACCTTTTCCAAGACCTATCTGTTCTTTTGTCAGTCCATGGTATATTCAGTACTCTTTTCCAACACTACAACTCAAAGGCATCACTTCTTTTTCTGTCATCCTTATTCATTGTCCAGCTCTCAGTTGCAGAGCAAGAGATTGAAAATACCATGGCCTGGATGAGGTGCATCTTAGTCCTCAAACTAATATCATTGCTTCTCAATAATTTGGAGAGGTCCTGACTACAGCTTTTCCCAGTGCAGTACATCTCCTGATCTCCTGACTGCTGGTACCAAATATATTGCTTGTGGGCTGAAAGTGAGGAGTATTTGAAACACTAACTACAGAATGTCAAAGACTACAACTTTTAATATGGATTGCATCTCGACATCAAGAAAACAAGGATTTTCTCCATTGAACCAATAGGCAACCTCATGATCTATGGAGAAAAAATTGAAACTGTCAACAAGTTCATCTTACTTGGGTCCACTTGACTTGCACAGAAATCTATATTATATCTATGGAGTGAAAACTCAGTGTTGGCATTTCTTCCCAAACTTATCCACAGACTCAATTAAACCTAGTCAAAATCTTAGCAAGATTTTACTCGTCACGTATAATAAATTTTATAATATTTATGTTGTAATTAACAATTCAATAATAGCCAAGACAATTTTTAAAAAGAACTAAATGAAGGACATATGCTTCCAGTTTTTAAGACTTTTTGAAGGTTACAGTCATTAAGATGGTTTAGCATTGTCCCAAGAATAGACAGTGGGATGTAGTTGAAGGTCAAGTGGTAAACTCAGAAATAGCTTAGTTTTGACAAAATTGACATGATAGATCAGTACAGGAAGTGCTATCTTTACATATAATTATTCTCAATGGTTGGAAATAATACAGAATAGAATTAAATGACCCATCATCAAAACACTTATGAAGATAACTTCAAGATCCTTTTAAACCTAAATATGAAAGGCTAAGCAATAAAGTTTCTAGAAAAATACCTCATAACTTGGGAGTAAGGAAAAAATTAAGAGAACTTACAAAGAACAAATCAAAATGTTGATACATAGAACTATATCAGAAATTAATTTCTGATTGTCAATTGTCATATTGTCCATTCCTTTCAGAGTATCATTCCATTCATCTATTCAAGTGCAGACCTTAAACAAAAAAAGAAATTAAGATGTCTATTTATTATAAACCCACATAAAATAGTGAAAAGATATAATGATATTATCAGCTTGCAAAAAGCAGACCATGGACATATTCATCTGTTGAGTATCTATCAGGAGACCCTACAAATCAGTAAGGATGAGATAACAGGAGAAAGACAAAAATGTGTCAAATAGGCATTTTAGAAATGAGGTTATCTAAATGGTGGTGGTGGTTGTTCATTGTCTTCGAGCTGAGCACGACTCATAGCAACCCTAGGAACAAAAGGCCTGAAGCCACTCTACAGCTATCAATGTTTATCAAAGTTCATAGAGTTTCCGGAGGCATGTTGTTTAGAAAGTGGATGTGGATGCCACTTCTGCTTCCAAACTAAATGGTTATAGATTTTAAACTTCTAAAAGATAAAATGGTCCTTAATCAAGTACAGTCTACAAAATTAAGTTGACAATATTATGATACTATATACTTACCAGAAAGACTAAAATAAAATTGACATTTACAGATATTGTTAACTATATAAAGTAACAATTATTGTATTTGACACATGTGGCCCTCAGGCCTGGTTTTAATTGTTTTTGGTCAAACATTCTTTTAAGTGGTATAACACTGGCCTGTCCATTTACTGTACAGAAGTAATCTCGTGTTTGCTGTGATGCAAAACACTGTAACACTGATGTGTCAAATGTGATAATGGTCAACCATGGTGGATGGTGTCTGGTGGAGCTCCCCAATTAAAACAAGCTTAGAAGCAGGAGTGGCATCCATTTCCAAGATACCTTGGCTCTGGAAACTCCATGAATTTGGAGAAAGGATAAAAGTTCTTTCGTTCATAGGGTTGTTATGAGTCGTCTACAACTCAATGGCACTTAACAACAACAACAACAATAACAATAACAATAACAACATATAAAGTAACAGAATCTAGTAACAGACTTCCAGGAGAAGTATAAATTGGCATAATAACTTTATTTTTTCAAACTCATTTTCACTGTGATTTGTGTAAATTTTTGTTTTCCTTTCCACAATGTTATACACATAATGTTTTCTTTGTGACATTGATTACAGTCTCCACATTGCAACTCTTCCCAATTCCTCCCTGTGTTTCCTGTTTCCACTCATCCTTCTTTCCTAGGCTTTCTTGCCTTCTGATCTTTATCTCTACACAGAAACTGCCCCTTTTGATTTGTCTGGTTGATTTGTCTAAAAAGAAAGTAAAGAGGAATTTCCTCCTCAGTATTACTGATCACTTCATAGTCTTGTTCATTGTTTGGCTGCAAGTTGAGTCACAGGAGTGCTATCAGTATAATTGTTTTAGAAAACAGTCTGTCATCACCATTTGAAGTGGAAGATATATAGATATATAGTCTAAAGCCTGTTAGAGCAGACATCATGTATGTTCATCACAAGTGCTCCAAGAGGCATGAAAGAATTTGTAGGAGCATTAGACTCACTGGATAATATTGGAAATAGTGCAGCTGGGACCCTAGAGGGCAAGGCAGAACTTCCCTAAAGAACTTCCACTAAATCTTTAAGGAAGTAGACTGTCTGTCACATATGTGTATGTTTCCATCGGAACCACTTGTGGTTTTGAGTAGCAGTCAAGCTCTTAACCACTGTGCCCATAGGGCTTCATATAGTAAGAGTAGACAAGGTGAATAAATTGTTATATATTCTCTTGTCTGAATGAAGTGTGACAGCATAGATGGGTCTTATAAGTAAAATGTTAAGGAATAGCCAGAGTATAGGGGTGTATATATAAGTGACATAGGGCAGGAAGGAGGATAAATGAGGTGCTAGTAATAGACTTTTCCCCTGATGAAGCCTTTAGGCTAATGTATAGAATTCATCAGCATTAGTATTGTTGTTGTTGTTATGTGCTATTAAGTCAGAACCCATTCATACCTGACGCTCCAGTGGGTTTTCAGTGGCTGTGAGTAACACAGGAGATTGCTCATCTTTCTCCTGTGGAACAGCTGGTGAATCCGAACCACATGTCTTTGAAATGTGTATTCGATTTCACAGTAAAATGAAAAATCCAGCTAGGGTAAAACTCATTGCTGTGGAGTTGGTTCTGATTCATAGCTTACCTTCCACTGGGTTTCCTAGACCATAACTTGCACAGGAGGAGATGCCCATCTTTCTCCCATAGAGTAGCTCGCAGACACAAATCACAAGAGAAGCACTGCCTGTGGGCTGTCAGTGCAGCTTGCTACAGGCTATGCCACCCGACCTCCTTGCCTATGATTAAATAAATAATAATAGTAATGAAAAATATCACCTTTATCTTTTACCTAAGATAAATGACACCCGTTGAAACTTGAGGTAGGCTATTGGGAAGAACAGTGTCTTTTTCACATGTAGCAAATAGATGGAATTTGGTGGCCTGTAAATAATTGGGCCACCAATCCAAAGGCATGTGGTTCAAATCAACCAGCTGCTCTGAGAAAGAAAGATGGAAGTTCTCTTCCCGTTTGGTTCACTGCCTCTGAACACTTGCTAAAGGAACAGCTATAGTTTGGTTTCAACTCAACAGTACACAACCATCAGCAAAACAAGTGGGTAAGGAGTTGTGCTACCAACCCTAAAATTACTGGTTTGAATCCATCAACTGCTCCATGGAAGAAATTATAAGCCATTTAGTCCCATGTGATTTACTGCCTCTGAAAACCTACAGGAGGTTCAGCTATGAGTCAGTTCCAACACCGCAGTACATATTAACAAAAACATAAGGCAAAAATAAAACTTAGCTCAGTAAAAACTTGCTGAAGGTCATTAAAAAACAGCTAGAACTATACATTATCAGAGAAGTGGACTCAGGAGACCAAAATGGAGAAAGTAGAAAGATCACTGGAAAGGAAATTGAGAAACGCAAGAGCTCATGTTTCCTTTCTTTCTCAAACCAATGTGTGATTTTGTCCAAGTCACTCAATGTGTGTAAACTCCAGTTTTCTCATCTGCAATATGGGAATAAAAATACTTTATTTCTGCCTTGTAGGACTATTGCATTGATAGGAAGGCTAAATGACAAAATGTGTGTGAATTGTTCTATTAACTGTGAAGTTCTCGACTAGTATTGGTTACTAAGCTTAAGTGTCCTATACATGTTGTTGTGTGCCTTAGAGTCAGAATGGACTCATAGTGGACCCTCCAGTGGGTTTTCTAAGGCAGTTAATTGCATGGGAGGATATTGCTTATTCTCCTCCCACAGAGCAGCTGATGGCCTCGAACCCTGTGCCTTCAGGATTGCAGCCCAGCTTTTTGCCTCTAGGCCACCAAAGCTCACAGAGCATAAATGTACTATTCATGTTCTAGAATACTCATCAGAAACTGGTAACATTTGGCAATATACATATACATCTTAGTATAGTAGTAGCCACTCCTGTACTATATGATTTTTGTCAGAGGGAGAACAATAAAATATGTAAAAATCAATCAAGGGAGCATTTCTGTCTGAAAAGACATCCAAGGCTCAAAAACAACTCATGCATTTGTTGACCAGATCTTATTTCTAGAACTTTCATTTAATGCTTTTGACATTGACATTCACAGGATCTCCCTTGACTGTGGCCTGCAATATCACAGACGTGTGGGACAACACAAATCTACGATGCTGGAAAGTCAATAACACTCAGGTGGATCTTTACTACCGTGAATCCAAGCGAATCAAAGAAGGATACGAGTGAGTATTTTCTTTCCTTACCCTGTCAAAATGCTAGCAAAGATTTCTCTACCTAATTTGTCATTATTACAAATGGATTTCTTAAATACATTTCTCACTACCTCTTCATCACTCCTTTGAGTTTTGAATCCAGGAGATTCAAAGATCTCCTGACTGGTGATGCAGTGAGTGCATGGCCAGCTATCTGGTTCAAAGAAGTTTGACGTGCTCACGGCTGTAAATTGTATCACTGTAATTTAGAGTCTAGTAAAGGAGATAAATTAAAGCATGTAGTATTGTGTAAAGTGACAGTAATTTTCTCTCAGCCAGTTTTATTCTCGTTTGATTATATCACAAGCCATAGACCTTTGAGGATTAAAAGACAAACTAAGCAATAGCACAGAGATGTTGTTGTTATGTGCCTTGAGTCGCTTGTGACTCATAGCGACCCTATGTACAACAGCCCTAAACTCTGCTCTGTCCTGTGCCAATCTCACTGTCACCGACACACCCATCCTGATTACCCCAGTCACCGAATCACCATCTCATAGAGGGTCTTCCCCTCTTGTGCTGTCCCTCCACCCTCCCAAGCATGATGTCCCTCTCCAAGGACCGTTCCCTCCTTACAACATGTCCAAAGTATGTTAGATGGAGCCTCAGAATCCTTGCCTTCAAGGAGCCACCCGGTTTGACCCTTTCCAGGAGTTTATGATTATTAAGCAAATGTTATGGAGCTTCAGTGTGGTGCAAATGGTTAGGAACTTGGCTGCTACTCAGAAGGTTGGAAGTTGGAGTTCATCTACAGGCACCTGGGAAGAAACACTTTGTGATCATCCTTTAAGACACTAGTCATTGGAAATCCTCTGGAGAATAGTTCTATTATGACACACATGGGTTGCCATGATTCAATGGTAACTGGTCTATTAGTTAATTCGGTGATATAAACAATAAGAGTAGGAAAGAAGAAGACCAGAAGAGCTACTGTCAGGTCTTACAATGTGGATAAATTAAGGTAATTGAAGAGGAATTGGAGATGATCCTGAAGGACTGAGGCTATTGTATATAATCAAAAGAACTATAGTGTCTTGTCACTGTCCAATACAAATTATATATTTGGAACTGCTCAGTCAATGAATTCCAATCAGTCACTTCAGTGAACTTAGGGTAAAATGATGTTCAAAGTGTTGTTGGGAAATTATTTTTCAGAATAAATGTTATAGAGTCTTTCGGGGAAGTATGATTTGTGTATTAGTGACTGACTCTTTTCTTTTATAGATCATTTGAGCCTTTTGGGGATTATTATAGGTACACAGTAAACATAACCTTCCTCGAGGTGAAAATGGAGGATTATGACCGTCCTTTTGTGTGTCATGCAGGAGTATCTGCAGCATACGTTGTGTTAAAGCTCCCAGGTAATGTTTCAGTGTGCTCATTGTATTCAAAATGATGGCATGGAAACACAGGGAGAAGTGATATTAAAAATTCTCTGTGAGGCCACTGGGTAACAGGATTAGAGAAGTTAAATATCAAATGCGCTGAGACACTGATGCAGTGTCTTATGATATTCACTGACAGTTAACATTATAAAGATGACGCAGGATAAGACTAAGTTCCAATCTATGGTGCATAGGGTCACTGTGAATGGTGGTTGACTCAATGACACCTAACAGTAACTTAGAGCTATGCTTAGAAGAACAGGTGCTGTCAGTAATTAACAGCTGTTAATCATGCCGAAAGAGAGAATGGTCGTTTGTCCCCTTCTGTTTTAGGGCAGTTAAGAAAAATGTATTCTAAGTTAATCTTTCTATCAACATTCTTCTTGCATCTCACATGCAAACTACTTTTGTGCTTGCATACTTTTGTTTTGTTTAGCTTAAATTCTTGGGACCATCACATCTTAGATATAAACTACTGGACTTATTTGGGGGCAAGTTTACAGTTAAGAATTCATGTGACACCCTTATTTTTTATTGATGATACCTTCAAATTGAAATCATAGTTGATCAGGAAGAAACAGATTCCCAAAGCCTAGTTCCCAACCAGCTAGTTGTTTTGACTTGTATATGATTCTGAGACGTTCTATTAGTCACTTGTTCTCAACTAAAAACTCAAACACACTGTTATCAAGTCAGTTTCAACTTAAAATGACCCTCCATTGGGTTTCTGAGGCTACTTATCTTCACAAGAGGAGACTGCCCATCTTCACCTGAGGAGCTGTTGGTGGATTCAAACTGCTGACCTTTTGGTTTAGCAGTGCACCATGCTACACACTGTGCCATCAGGCTAGTGTTAAGTTAGGGGTGAATATCAGCATTAACGGGGCCTTCATCGGGGGATTTGGTGTATCTCACAAGGCATTTCCTATTTATTTTTCTTTCAAGTCCATAAGCTAGCCTGGTTGCTGTTGAGTCAACTTCTGTGCATGAGGACTTCCTGTGGATTAGAGTGGAATTGTGCTCTACAGGATTCCCAGCAGGTCATTGTTTTGGAACTAGATAGATCATCAGGACTTTTTCCTAAGACACCTTCAGAGTTTTAAGTCTTTCAGTTAACAGCTGAGTGTGTTAACTGTACCTCTGAGGTACTCTTCAAAATCCTAGGTGAATTCCCTTTGATTTTAAGTAATTATTACTTTCCCACTTCAAATTTCAGTTAATTTCTAGAGCAAAGCGTGTCAGCTCTTCTGGTACAATAAATAATCAACCCACAAATCTCAAACCATCCCTCCTGTATTCTTACTAGGACTTTGTGAATCTCAGAATTTTTATGGTATTATTTTCTCCATCCTGATAGTAGAGAGATCCTTGTAATATACATTACATAGACTCATATGTGGTTTTGCTCAATTCAAGAAGTGGCATTGCTACTTCAAGAAGAAATGGTAACAAATCAAGGAAACAGCAAAGAAATGTAGAAAATAGAACCACCCAAACCCCTAAATTAGCCAGTGAGTTCATAGTGACCCTCCATTGAGTTTCCAAGGCTGTAAATAATAATGGGAGTACATTGACCATTTTCCTTCCTTTAAGTGACTGGTGAATTAGAACCCCTGAAGATGACCATAAGATTAGTAGAGCAATCCCCTCTAGGCTGTGCTACTAGAGCTCCTGAGGATGCAAAGGAAAGACAGATAAGTCTAATGATTAGAAGTTAGAGATTCTAATCAGCAGTTCAGGTTTGAGTTAGGCACCGATGTGTAAAGCATTTAAACTTGGTTGAGTTCTGGTGGCCTAGTGGTAAGAAATGACACTGTAATCCTGAAGGCACTTGGTTTGAATGCACCAGCTGCTCTGTGGGAGAAGGATGAGCAATCTCATTTACTGCCTCTGAAAACCCACTGGAGGGTCAGCTGTGAGCCAATTCTCAACAGCACACAACAGCAACAACTTGTTAGATTGATATTTTTTAAAAGCAACTTGCACTTTACTGTATTATACATTTAAATTGTCCAAGATAGAAAAGGGGGAAAATTAAGTCTTTGACTTCAGGATGGCCTAGGGAGTGTACAACAAAATTTTCAAACAATATTAAAATAGATGAAAGTACCATGAAGAGTTAGACAAAAGATAGTCCTCCTTCACAGTGCCTCTCAGGGATTCGCTGTCTATTTAGTATTAGGGATCGGGAAGTGGCTGAAGAATTAAGTGGGTTGTGAAGAAAAGGAAGGGATTCTATTCCTTTGTTCTTCTTCCTTTTTTCTGATTCTTTGGGAGGCATGGGGTTTGGGTTTGTGGTGAGGCTGAAAGCTGTGTTGTTCCTCTTCTCAGACGTGTAGGAACATGTTTTCAAGTACTTGGACTACCAGAGCAACTGGTTCTGCTCCTCCGTCATTGCCTGCCTCACCACTTCCGCTCGTAATTGCTCTGTCCTCTGCTCACGAAGCAGTGTTGGATATAACAATTTAAGAGCATATCACCCTCATGGGTGCCATCACTGAACACTGATCATAGAGAGAACTACACATGTATCTGGATCTCAGCTCTTCTGTTGAGCTCCTAGGGCAGACAATGAATCACTCTTTCCTTCTGACAAGCATCTTAAGACTCAATTTTGAGTAGCTGGGAGAGCAACTACAACATCAGTTATTAATCAGAAACTCGCACCAGAGTCACTGGAGGAGCTTTTCCACTTAAAGGGGCTCAAGTCCCATTTCTGGACATTCAGAGGGCTTGTTCATGAATAGTTTGTTTTTGAAAGAAATGTGGATTCAACTGTGAGCAGTACTGTATGGTACATTTGTGCTAGGACTCTAGAATCTTCCTCTACGTGGTGCCCAAGAGCTCAGAATTTGTTTTCCAAAATGATTTGTCAAGAGGAGAGCATTTTACTCTTATATCTGTTGGTTAAAGAGCTCTGGTCCTTGGTGGTTCAAATTTACCAATGGTTCTGCAGGAGAAAGATGGGCAAAGCCTTCCCATGTGATTTACAACCCCCCAAAAATACGGCAGGAGGATCAGCTGTGATCCATTTCCCACTCGACAGCAATGAGAGAGTTGGAGTTGAAAGGTGAAGCCAGATGGTAAATGATGCACTGCTGACAGAGCAGTGGGGAGCTCAGTTCACTAGCTGCTCCGTCTCCGAAAGATTGGCAGGCTCTTCCTACAAAGAGTTTTAGTCTTGGAAACCTGATGGATTGCCATCATGAGTTGGAATTTACTCTACAGTGGTAGGGAACTCTATTATTTATAGAAATATGTAAGCAGCATCTCTAGCACTTTGACATTAATGTATTGCCATTTGGCACTTACAGTGTGCTCTGCATAAGTAAAGGATCTAATGGAATCTTTCTTGATCTCTCTTTTTGTACTGTCGTTTTTAGTTCGAGACTCTCAAGGTTACCTGATAGGAGGGTTCATTGCCTTGGCAGGAGTGGTTGCTTCTGTCATGTTCATCTACAACGTTTTTAAGATTGACATTGTGCTTTGGTATCGGAGTACCTTTCATTCTCCTGGGACCATGGATGGTAAGTGTGGGCAATCTATGAAAAAACTGCCTCACTGTGGATATTTGCTCTTTTATGCAGTCACTTTGAACACATTAATATATTTTACTAGCTTCCCCCCCGCCCTCATGTTGCTAAAAATTTTAAAGGAAAGAATATTTTTGGAACTTCTTGCACTTGGAGAAATTATTTACCCATGCTCCTCAGTATTGTTCTTTCATATAAAGCTGGTGGTGTTAACTGCTCTTGAGTTAACCCTGATTCACAGTGACCTTATCTAGATGAAACCTTGTCTAGTCCTGAACCTTCCTCACACAGTTCATCACTGCAGCTATTGCATTATCTATCTCATGGAGGGTCTCCCTCACCTTTACTAACTGTCCACTTGACCAAGCGTGGTACCCTTTTCTCGTGGTTCATCCTTTCTGATGACATGTCCAAAGACAGTGTGAGTAGAGCAATGTTCTGTTGGGGGTCTATAATGTTTAAATTGACAGATTTCCAGAACTAGATCACCTGGCCTTTCTTCCTAATCTATCTTAGTTTGAAAACTCCACTAAAACCTATCCAATGTGTACGACCTTCATAGTATTTGAACAAATCAGTAGAACAACTTCTAGCATCATGGCAACACTTAACATGCCCATATAGAAACCTGGCAGATGCATGGTGGTGACCAAGTGAGTATTTGCAAAATAGCACATATCATCTGCTGGGTTCCACTGTAACCTTTTAGGAAGGTTCTCATATCCCTTTACATTGTTAAGAGTATTTCTCCTGGGCCGCAATGCTATTTGCCCCTGATAAATTTTTAAAGCAGTGGGTGCTTGAATAGAATTTATATTTTGGAGAAAAGTGAGCTGACGAGGCTACCATTTTTTTCTAGGTAATGTACTTGATACTTGGTATGAAAGACTGGCCTGAGTTTAAGTTTGATTTCTCCACTTCACCCACCACATAGTCTTGGGAAAGTGTTTTATTTCAGTCAATTTCTTAGCTGTAATGAAAATTATAGAAACGAACAAAGCCCCTCCTCATAGAGAGTTGGGGGGGCATAAATAAGGTAAAAATATGGGGGACGATGACCAACACCAGTGACATGAGAGAAACAGTGTTGTCTTAATGGAGGCCAAAAGCAAACTGATGCGTACCTCCACACCCTGTAGTGGTGGCTTTCTCTGTGACAGTTTGGCCCTGGAGCCCGGATAACATAGTCCACAGGGAGATGGGTTGCCAACTCAAAGACTGCTCTTCTCTGGTGGTTTGGGCCCACCCATGGCTTCTCCAGAAAAAGGGTGGGAAATCTCCTCCTGTGTTGTAGATAGCCTTGGGCACCCTCTTGAGGGGCGACCATGAGTCGGTTCTGACTGAGCAGCAATGAGTTTGGGGTTGTGTTGCTTGTTTTTCCATTTTAGTGCCATTTTGATACAGAAATGTCTCAGGATGGTCCTCAGATACTGGCAACCATTACAGAGTAATGCAATCCTCCCCCCCCTTTAGAATGGGTGTAATGGATTAAGAACTTTAAAATACATCTTTAATTTAAATAATTGGCTAAGAAAATGAATACAAGGCAGGGAAGAGTTTGCACAACTGATGCAAGTGACATGTGTTGTTGTTAGGTATCATTTCCTTTCCTCTCATAGAGACCCCATATGGCTCCTCCATACAGGTTTCTGGGCTGTACTTTTTACAGAGGCACATCTCCAAAGCATTCTCCTATAGAGCTACTGCATGAGTTTAAACTGCCAATCTTTCACTCAGCAGTTGAACACTTAACTGTTGTTCTACCAGAGATCCCAAGATGATGTATATAACAATCAACTTATAGCATTCAAATTCAGAGACTTGAAATACTGCCCAGGGCAGGAACATGGGGGATGGGGAAGGGAGCATGTGACCAAAGAAGTTTTGATATTAGGTGCTGTTGAGTCATTTCTGACTAACAATAGCCATATCTATAACAGCGCAAAATGCACCATCCTCACAATCTCTGCTCTGTTTGAGCCCCATGTAGCCACTGTGCCAATCCAGGAGTTCCCTCTTTCTCCTGCATGGGGTGTGATGCCTTTCTCCAGGATTGAGTCCTCTTGATAACATGTCCAAGTACACGAGACAAATTCTCTTCATCTTTACTTCCAATCAGCATTCTGACTACATTTCGTCCAAGACATACTTGTTCATCCTTCTGCAAGTTATGGTACCTTCAGCAGTCTTTGCCAAGACCACAATTGTAAACTGACTGATTCTTCTGAGCAAACTTAGTACTTAATGTATTGAACAGCATTGCTTGGACTAAATACCTTCTTTGCAAAAACAAAACAAAACAAAACAAATAAAAAAAAACCCCAAACAAACAAAAAACCCACAAAAACAAAACAACAAACCCCTAAAACCCATGAATGTTTTCCACATGTTTTGTAAAACATAGATGTTCAAAGTTGGACTCTTTTCTAAGTAGAATTTCAGATTTTAAATTTGACAAATCCTTGAACTACATTGAAATGCATTCCTTTATTTTTCATTTTTTAAAAATAACTTTTTGTTTTGGCTTAATGAAAGTTTACAGGGCAAATTAGCTTTCCATTAAACAATCCATACCCATTATGTCTCACGAGAGAAGTATAGACACTCTCGCCCCAGTGATTACTTCCTCTGAAAACCCACTGGAGGATCAGCTGTGGGTCGGTTTTGACTTGATGGTACAAACCAACAACATTCTATTTCATGACAAGAATATAACTCCCATATTGTAATAGGATTCTTCCCATGTCTTCCCTGTGTTTCTCATTTCTAACTCCCTCTCCTGTCCTATCTAACCTTTGATCAAATGCTCTCTTTTGATCTTGTGCAGTTGGTTGTTCTAAGAAGGCTTTTCCCCTTGATGTTATTGATCACTTTGAAGGACTGTCTATTGTTTGACTGACGATTGAGTCCTGGGAGATTTGAAGAGTGACTAAGGACCATAGTCTTGGAGTTTCCACAACTCTCTTCCAACAATTAAGGTTGATTTTTCTGTAACCTTTTAAATCGTGCTTCATTTTCTTCTACTGTATCAGGACATTTGTTGAGATTGTCAGAGTGGTCAGCAGTGGTAGCCTGGTCCCATCAATGTCTGGTGTCAGGATCATGGAGACTAAAGTTCATGTGGTCTCTTAGCCTTTCTTTCTTTCTTTTTTTTTTCTTTAAATGTGAAGAGACCAGTATTTGAACTCGAGATCCTTGTTGCTATGTGACAAGGTAGTAGATGGAACATTACCTTTGTGGATTATTTTTGTTGTTATTGTTAGATACTGTTGAGTCAACTACAACTTATTGTTGAATGGCTATGAATGACAAATCTAAACCCTGCCCTATTCTGTGCCATCCTTATTCTATTTTTAAGGTCATTGTGTCAATCCATTTCATTGAGGAACTTAGCCTCCTTCGCTGATACTCTACTTTTCCAAGCATTATATCCTTTTCAAATGACTAGCCTCTTCCTAGCAACATCCCCCAAATATGTTTGATGAAGTTTCACCATCCTCCTCCCTAAGGGGAACCCTGGCTGCACTCTCAACCAAGATGGATCTGTTTTTTCTCTTGGAAGTCCATGGGATATTCAGGGCTGTTCTCCAGCACCACAACACAAAGGCATCAATCTTTTTTCAGCCATTTTTAATCACTGTCCAACTCTCCTATGTATAAAAAAATAAGTGAAAAGTCCATGGCTAGGATCAGGTGTACTTTAGTCTTTAAACTGGCGTTCTTGCTCTTCAGCACTTTGGAGAGGTCCCTAACTGCAGACTTCCCAAATGCAATAAGTCTTTTGATTTCCTGATCAAGTTTCCCTCTACCAAGTTTTTTGATTGTGGATCCAAGTAAGATTAAATCATTGAGATTTTATGTCTTTTTTCCATCTGTCATGATGTTTGCTATTGTATAGGATTGTGAGGACTTTGTTTTCTTGATATTGAGATATAATCCATACGGAAGGATTTTATATCTATATGTAATATAGATATATATCAGATATATATATATCTGATATATATCTATCTCTATCTCTATCTACCTATAATCTATTGTAGAACTCTTTTTTTATACATCCACTGCAGCCTTCAGAATAAATGTCAACTTTGATGTGTTTTCTGAGACTCACCCATGTCTGTGAAAGCACACTGTGTTCACTCTATTCCTGGTTGATCTTAAGAAGAAAAGATTCCTGAATGTCACAAATAATTTGCTTGACTACTCACCTACTGTTGAAGGTTTAAACCCACCCAGTGGTGCTTCAGAAAAAAAGACCTGGTGATTTGCTTCTAGAAATACTACAGCCAAGAAAATCCTATTGCAGAGCACTTCTCCCCTGTCACATGGGGGCCTCCGTGAGTCACAATTGATTCAGTGGCAATGATTGTGGAGTTGATTTTGAGAAGCAGAGGGTTTAACCCACTGCCACTTACCATTTCTGATACAAAGATATCAGAAACACTGTTTAACCACTTGCTGATTTTTTTACTTCCAGAAGACTAAGTCAATCAATGTGGAATTCTTGGTAATTTCTTGGGCTTCTTACTCCACTGACTCACTGTGACTCTGACGACCTGTGACGATAGCTGTGACTTACTCAGTGTTAGGCACATAGTGTGAGTTGAAGGTGCTTATTAGTAAGGTCAGGCTTGGCAGAAAGAGCAAAAGGATCGTGACTCATGCTGAGCAGGGGAGTGGAAAAGATGAGACAGCTCAGGGAGCCCCACCCACTGCCCAGGTTGGAGGCAGTCCAAATTTAGTTGCAGAAGACTGAAATTTGGGAGATGATGATTAGAAGAAGAATTGAAAAAAAAAAAAAGAAGAATTGATGCCTTTGATTTGTGGTGCTGGTAATAGTCTTGAACATACCATGGACCACCAAGAAAACAAATAGGTCTGTTGTGGAAAGGGTAAAACCAAGTTTCTCCTTCAAGGTGAGGACTTTGAAGCTTTCGCATACTTTTGGGCACATGGCCAGGAAGGACTACTCCTTGGAGAAGAACATCATG